CTTCTTTTCACAGGAAAGCCCTGATTCTGATAAAGGCGTTCTGAGTTCTGCCAATGCTGATCTTTGGAAAGGTTCCAAAATACCTTTGTGCTTGACTCTACACCACATTTGTGACATATGGATGTCATGCTAACATGGGAAGCTGACAAAAATATTGGAAAAAATAGAAGTAATCTGGAAAGGTTGAAATGCCAAAGAAACTCGTTCCCTTCCTACTCCTATGATTTCCTGCTTCTCCCCCTCCACCTGCCCTCTGTCAATTTAGCTTACTTTTGTAGCATAAGTTTGCAGATACAGAGGACTCAATCCTGAATCTTCTAATTAGTCAAAACAAAGGGGCAGTATGAGAACCAAGATACTTCACTGGGTATGCACTACTGCAGCAAGTTACCTCTCTTTTGGTTCTGATTTTTGAAAAGGAGCAATTTAATTATTGAAGCCATGAAAATTTTGGAATGGGATACACATGCTTCCATCCCCCTCTTCTACCTTTATAGCCCAGGTTATCTAAGCTTATGTTAATAGGTCGTTGAGATATAAAGTGTTAACTAGTTAACCAGTTACCTGGTAATCATTAGCCTTACCGGCATGCTTACTAGGTAACTGGTTAACTGGCAGCTTGGCCTAGTTAAAGCAGGCCCCACCTATGGCGTGGAGGACTCTTGTCCAGCCTGTGGGAGCAACTCCCCCATTTGTGGTAGGGTGGGCTCAGCCCACCCTGTCCAGAGCAACTTGTGGCATAGTGGGCCCAGCCAGGTTGGAGCAGTGTCCTGCACGTAGGATCCTGGTGAACCGGTTACACATACTGTTTAAATGGTTAACTTTTAAATAGGATTTTACTTCCTTAATAGGTCAGTCAGTTTATTGTGAATAATAGTTTTCTGTTGTAATTTAAAGACTCTTGCTTCAAGAAAAGCAAACCCAGAAAGGAAGTCTACACTGATAAGAATTGAAATTCTGATATTTTCCATATGTGTCAAATATATTTTCTCTAAAAAACCACAATGAAATACAGATTACTTTGTATGTAAAGAGTTCAGAAGGTCTTTGCAGCTAGCCTCCTTATTCTCCAACTACCATCCTCCCCCAAAAAGACAAGAAAAAACACTCAAACAACAAAATAAAATCGGTAAATATATGCAGCAAGATCAAACTTTGTCTTTTTAAAATTCACATGCTAATAAAAGATTTCTTACAACTACAACTACCGCTGGCAATATTTTAATCAAAGTTATGGCTCTTCAAAGCTTATCATATAAAATCTCAGCCTGACTATTTTTTTCCTTTTTTGGGTGTGCAATTTTGGATATTACATATACCTCTCCTGACACTTAATGTGACAGACTTTCTGGGAAACTTGTGTAGTCTGTTCCTTGTCCTAGACACCAGATATGTTGATGTTCACATCTCCTTTTTAGCCCTAGGACCTTATTCCAAAATACACCCGTCCTACCCCAGTTCGAATTTATAAAAGTGATGCGTCCATACTACCAAGGCCATTATTTCAAAATAACGGGTGGTGGAATTCCAACTCTGTAATCCTGCTTTTCACAAGGAGTAACGCTAATTCTGAAACAGTAATTTTGAAAAAACATTAGCATGGGTGCTCTGGTGACACTAATTTGAACTTACTGGCATATGCCTCGGAGTAATTTTGCATTAAGAGGGTGCTAAATGCTGGCTAAATCTAATGTTTAAAAAATAACCACTAGAGGGAAAAATCAAATTTAATGTAGTTTGTTTTATAAACAGGAATTAACTCAAGAGTTTGAAAATAATCCCTTATTTCACACATGCATATTACTATATTTAGATTGCGATACAACAGTGTAACTATGATTCTCAATTCATATAATCATTTGACTATATGTGACATGACAAATACCAGTTCATCTTGTCAAGATATTTCTTTTAATACATTGTGTATATTTCAAAACATGTGAAAACAGAGTTTCTTAGAAGACCTAAAGTTGTAAACATGATGTGAAGCAACACACATTTCAACAGGCTGCTTGGAAAAAAATCCAGAGGAATCAAGTTCAGCTGATTTGGAGTAGTCTCCTAATTTGAAACACAAAAAAACTTTTCTTTTGCTGCATAAGCTAAGAGGGAAAAACAATCTAAGAATCAGATTCAAAGTTATTTTTTTTTTTTAAACCAAGACTCAGGGCAACATTTGGAAACAATGTTAAGATGTTAAGAGAATCTATCCTGGGACTTTTAAAGATCAACTTTTAAACTCTCTGAAAACAACCTGACTTGTTGGGAGTCGTCATGACTTTGTGCATATCTAAAAGTAATCCAGAACAATAGTAATCAATGAACATCTACAGACTAAACAGATGAAGATGGAATCTGGAGGAGGAAGAGATGAATGAAGAGGTTTCTGCAATATTCTCACTCGTCCCTACACCCTGTTCCCAGATAGCCCTGTTGGCAATCTCTTGTGAATTTCACAGATGATAGCCTTTCATGAAATGAGAGCCAGTTATCACTGGTAGATATACTGGCGGCTAATGAGATTGATCTGGGATCCATAGATCTTGTCACAACTGAAGCAGCCATTTTCCAATGGAAGGGGCAGAGTTCAGCTGGAGCATGTTCCAATGCCTTCCAATAAAAATGAAACAAAACCAGAACACTCATTGAGTTTGGCAGTCTGTGGATAGGACTGGAACATGAATAAAAACTCAACTAACCCTCTCATCTGAGTTCCTTTAGGACAAGGTTGAGGCAGAAAGAAAGTGAAAATCCCCTCCCCCCATTAGGTGGGAGGCCTCACGGCTCTTGGTTTCCTCTCTCTCTTCCTCCCCCCCCCCCAAAAGGGGAGAAGTCTTGTGGTTCTGAAGGCATAGGGAAATTGTAGGGAGGGGCCGTGGGATACAGATTGTCACTCTGTCGTCTCAGAGGAAAAGTTTTTTTTATATAGAGAGATATCTTTGGGACAGTTACCATAAGGAATCTGTTCTTCTTCTGAGCAGAAGAATTCAGTGCCCAGCACTGCCACACTAAAATTGCCCTGTGTTCAGATACCCTTTTTCCATTCCATTAAGGAGATTATAAAGTTACTGGTTGGCCCATTTACAGACCCTTGCCCTCTCTGAGATACCTGTGGACAAGTAGTAGTGGAGAAAAAAATATCAAAATATGATTGCAGGGGAGGGGTGTGTGTATCAGGAAAACAAAAACTGAGGCATAGACTCAAGAGAAACGAGTCAAAGAAAGTCCTTCTCCTGCTTCCACCATCAGAAATAGAGGAGAGTACTATGGATTCTTCAAGTAATGTGACTAGAACTGGGCAATTTTGGGGGGCAAATAGTAAATTTGTTGAAAAATGAATCTTTGAGAACCCTTGAAACTTGCAAATGTGGATCAATTCACCAAATACTTTTATCTAGAGAAAAAAAATGATTTAAAAAAAAAAGTCAAAACAAAACATTTTGGAAATGAACCATTTCAAACACGTCATTTCAAATCACCCTTTCATTTAGAAAATGTCATTCCAGACAGGCATTTAAACATTCCCTAGTACTAAATAAAATGTTGTTTTTTTTTTTATTTCCGCAAGGAAAACTAGAAGGAATGGGGGGGGGAGGGGGGAAGGGAGGGGGAGAGAAATCAATTTTGGTTTAAAGGCAACAGATTGTTTTAATTTTTCAGATCATACACTGAACCAAATAAATCAATTATTTGCTGAGCTTTAAGTATGATCATGCCGAATCATTACAGGTAAGATGGGAAGCAACACTTAAGAGTTAAGTAACACTGCCTGACACTTCCCGTTATGTGATCTCATTTTCAGTTGCTTGTAATTCTGCCAAACTTCAACCATTCCAGATGAAATGTCCTACGCTAGGTATTTGCCACAGGCTGAAATTTTAGCAAAGTTTCAGCAGAAAAAATTCAGTCATTTGCAAAAATTAAATTAGGGAAAATACAATAGTTCTGATTGTCTTAGAAGTCTTACAAACATTTTTCTTGATAAGTTCTAGCATCTTCACATCTTCATCTATTGAAACAGGGACTGAAATCTGGCAGGACTGGAAAGGGGTCAGCACAGAATCAGTTGCATTTTGCTGTCCCTGTGAAAATCCATCCAGACATGGTCAAATTATAAGCCTATGAAAAACATTATTTTCACTAGTTCAGTAGAGACTTTTTAGTAAAATTCTTAGCAATATAATTCTCCAGATATTCTGTCTGCACTGAGAGTGTCCATCCTGGAGCTGTAGGGGCCTAAGTGGAATTTGCCTTCAATTCCTCCTCCTGGCAACATGGCGATGTTGGAACACAGGAAACTTTGCAAACAAGCAACTGAAACAAAGTGACTTTCAAGGTCACTAACTAGAGATGGGAATACAACCTAAATCTTGAGAAACTATGCTTCCCCTAAAGAAGGAAAGCAATACTTTAGGGAGCCACAGGTGAATGCATTTCAAACAGGAACACATTAAGAAAATGAAAGTTCACCTAAATGCAACAAAAAGTGTCCACTGTGTGGTGAGGCCTCATCAGAGGGGATATTTAAAGCTAAACAAGACAAAGCACTAGTAAATATGCAGTTGTGCAATGAGAATCCTGTACCGTCAGAAATACTCTCTTCAGTAATAGCTATTTTTAAAAAATCAGTACTGAGATTTTAAGAAAAGCAAGCACTTTCTTACAACTGATGTCTAAAAGCAACAATCATTAGATTTGTTGCAACATCCTCTTTGTTCTGCATCTGAAACTCTTGCAACATTTTTTCATGTTTTCTTTCTTTTTAATCATCTTACCTCCAAATTATACAGATATTTGAAGCTGTTTTCCTGACTGGCAGCTCTTCTCACAGCCTGAGCCAATTCCACAGCTCCTCTGCCACCAGCTGACCAGTGATTGCAGGGCACTGCATCAAATGCTCCAGCTTCTTTTGCAATCTCACAGACTAAATCAACTTCAGCATGGGAGTCAGTTCTGCCAACCAAACAGTTTTATGTCATTATTTTGTTTATTTGCTCTTATACAGCCTTATTTGTTAAGCACTGCTCTGTAATGATAGTTATGAACCAAATGATAGAAGTCTTAAAATTATTAAATGTTTATAAAACCCCCAACTGTCTCAAGTACACTGAAATAGAAAAGTTTCATAACAAATCACATACAATACCATTCTCTGTTTATGTGATTTGAAAGTCTCTAAGAGGGGCAGTTACAGACACTTTTAAACCTTTATACTCTTCAGGATGTATAAAAGGAAGTTTGAAGAATTTACTTTTTTTCCCCCCTCTAAAATATCCTTTCTATAAGCCAAATGTATACTTTTTTTCTCTTGCCTTTAAAAGCTTCTCTCTTCATGACATTAGATAATTTAAAAAACTAATGAAAAGGAAGGTGCACTAAATCAGTGTTTCTCAACTTTTTTTTTTATAAAGTATCCCCCTTTAAAAAAAAAATTATAATACCCCCAGTAGCTACAGTTTTCAGACACACAAAATGTATTTCTACCATTGCACCACATTTGTTTAAACAACTTAATTGGAACCGGGTGGGCGATGAAATTTTTGGGTGTAAAAAGTACAAAAATAATAAAACACTGTAAAACCTAAAAAGAAAAATTCAGTTTTCTCTAAATTTCAGTTGGGTTGATGTACCCCCAAGACTTCTCTCGAGTACCCCTAAGGGTACTCGTACCACTGGTTGAGAAACACTGCTCTAAATGAACCACTGAAAAACAAATTAGTGTTCTGAATTTAAAAAAAAAAATTCAGGACTGAACAAGTATATTTAATTAGATCACTACATCAGCAGAATCCTTGTAATTCTTTTAAATGGCATATGAAGTTAATATTGTTTGTGCTTCCTGGATTTCATCCATCTGTAAGTGATAATATATTTAACATACTATATGAGGTCAGGGATTAAATGATTATACCTAATGCAAAGCCAATAAGCTTGATCTTTGGGTCTACTTATATGAGTAAAGGATGGGTTGACTTACTTGAAGACATTTAAAGCAACCACAACAGGAACTCCAAAGAGTTGAGCAATCTGAATCTGTTTCTGTAGATTACAGCAGCCATCAGAAACCAGCTGGAGATTCTACATAATTAAACAAAAAACAGAATAGAAATGGCAATATGTGTCACATCTTTTCTAGCCAAAGAATTTTCCTAAATTACAACAGACATGGTTAGTTATAATTATTTTGATATTTATGGGTAACCTTTATAATAGACTTCAGACAAAACACTTTGACATATCCTATTAATTCTAATTTTAGTAGCAGCAGCCACATTTATACAACTGAGCAGGATCTAAATCTTGTTTATTTGAGCATGCTGCCAGATTGCTCCCTTCTAGGACACAAGCAAGACAGAGATGCTGCTGACTGGCTGCTAATTAATAAACAAGATTCCAGAAAATATCTGCGGGCTGTTTGACATTGGCAGTGGTGTGGACTGCATCCGAAGGAGTTGCACAGTAATGCAATCACTAAGACATTTGCTGCTGAAGCTTTCCATCAAGGACTGGTGCTATCTCATCTGATTCCTCCTAGGATCCTTTTTCACCACACATCCAGATCCAGAGAGGACACTGGCAGGAAGAGATGGACTAGCCTTCTCATTCGCCTTCCACGCTCTATGCAGGGAGAGTTCACTCAAATCCGAAGGAGTTGCACAGTAATGCAATCACTAAGACATTTGCTGCTGAAGCTTTCCATCAAGGACTGGTGCTATCTCATCTGATTCCTCCTAGGATCCTTTTTCACCACACATCCAGATCCAGAGAGGACACTGGCAGGAAGAGATGGACTAGCCTTCTCATTCGCCTTCCACGCTCTATGCAGGGAGAGTTCACTCAAATCAAAATCCAGTGAGTGATGCCACTTAGACTGTGAGAGATAACACTAATGTGGGCATTCTAGTCATCCATTAAAGGCCCAGATCCCAAAATCCCAGAGAGGATAGTTGACAGGGATGCAAGCTGATAAAAGGGCCCATCCAACTCCCACTGAAGTGAACTGCAACTCCCACGGAATCAGTGGCAGGCCATCAGGCCCACAGAAGTATAGTTCATAAGACTCTCAAACCTATGACATTTAAAATATCAAACTAGTTCACCCACACAGCTCCCTCTCTCCCACACATGCAAACAAGCGAAGTCCAGGTGATTTACTCCTGTTGAGTTTCTCAGGTTGTTTTGGTTTTAGGCTTTAGAAAGGATGTATTCTGATTTTCCATGGAAAAGTACATTGGTATAGGAATTCTTTCATCATGCCATATAAGGAACAATATTAAAATATTTTATCTGTATTAATCTCTTCATTACTGAATCCACTGTGTAGAACTACTGTATGAGAGGTAGGTATTATTATATGCCACACATAACATGGCAATGGCTTGTAGAAGTAAAGTTTTGGAATATTTCAGTATCCAAACACACGATCTTAGCCTTAAATAAACTGAGTAGCAAAAAAAGAAGTTACGCACTTTGTGCAGTAACGATTGTTCTTCGAGATGCGTGTCCCATGGGTGCTCCACTGTCCCGGCGCCGCAGATTGGAGATCTTTTCTAGCCATAGTCTGCCGGACAACGCATGCGTGAAGTACGGCTCATGGCTTTTCGCGCCGTTTGAGCGTTGGTGGCCCGGCTCCCGCCAGTTCCTCCTGCCTCTTGCTCTGAAAGACACAAAGTAGAGAAAACTCCGAAGAGGGGAGGAGGGCGGGTCGTGGAGCACCCATGGGACACGCATCTCGAAGAACAATCGTTACTGCACAAGGTGAGTAACAGCAGTGTCCCGTGGGTGCTCCACTGTAGGTGAATGTACAGCAGTAACTCGCGAATGAGGAGGAGGGTTCAGAGCTAGCATGCCGTAGCTGAGGATAACACCGCTGTCGCCACCGTGGAATCAGGTATTAACAAGTTCGGGATGGCGTAATGCGTGGCGAAGGTTAGGTTGGAAGACCACGTAGCAGCTCTGCAGATATCTATCAAGGGGACTCCCTTAAGGAATGCAGTGGACGTAGAGACCGCCCGAGTCGAGTGGGCCCTCAGGGTCGAAGGCAGTGGTTTCTTTCGCAGTTTATAACAAGTTCTTATGCATTGTACAATAGTGGAGGAGATGCGTTGAGCGGACCACGAGCGACCTTTAGAGCGGTCCGCCATTGATATTAGTAACGGCTCTCGATATAAAAGGCGAGAGCCCGTCTGACGTCCAAAGTGTGCAGGCGTGCAGGTTCTGGTGATGCATGTGGTTTGGGATGGAATACAGGGAGGATTATAGGCTCGTTGATGTGAAAACGAGAGATCACTTTGGGGCGAAAACGTGGTTGCGTTCGCAATATTACCGCTTGGTGTGTAAAAATTGTATAAGGAGGAGAGGCTGATAGAGCAGCTAACTCACTCACTCTCCTCGTGGAAGTAATGGCCAACAAGAAAATGACCTTCATGGCCAGGTCATATAAAGTGCATGTCGCTAGCGGTTCGAAGGGTTTGCCCGTCAGGGAATTCAGGACCATTTCGAGGTCCCAAGGATCCGCTGGTTGAGAATATTGTGGATACAAGTTGGACATTCTCTTCAAGAACCTTTTAGTTGGGAAAATACGGAACATCTGTCGACCGGCTGATGAAAGGCTGCTATTGTGGCGACATGAACTCTAATGGAAGTGCAGGTAAGGCCTGAATTCTTGAGGTATACCAGGTAGTCCAGGATACACTGCAGAGGTGTAGAGACTGGATTCAGAGCCTTTTGGAAACACCATGATGAGAAGCATGACCATTTTGAAAGGTAAGTAGTTCGCGTAGATAATTTTCTACTGTTTAGTAAAATGTGCTTGACAGATTGTGAGCATAATACTTCTGACTGTTGGATCCAACTAGGTACCATGCCGTGAGTGCGAGATGGTCCACCTGCGGATGGAGAAGGGAGCGGTGATTTTGCGAGAGCAGATCGTGCCGAATTAGCAGAGGACACGGAGGATGTATCAACATACGATGGAGGTATGGATACCACGTTTGCCTGGGCCAAGCTGGGGAGGGAATGCATAAAGTAGGTAACGTCCCCAGTTGTATAGGAAAGCGTCGCCTTTTGAATTTCGCCCAATTCCCGCTCTCGAGCAATACTGAGGACATTTCGCATTGTGAGAAGTGGCAAAGAGGTCTACTAGCGGAAATCCCCATCGTTGAAATATCACCGAAAACACTGTGGGATGTAACTCCCACTCATGATTGAGAGAAAAATGCCTGCTGAGGGCGTCGGCCGTTACATTGTGGTGGCCCGGGAGGTATTCTGCTATTAAAAAGACGTTGTGGCGATTGCACATGTTCCATAGACTAATCGCTTCTGCGCACAAGGAGTGGGACCTGGCCCCACCCTGCTTGTTTATGTAATAAACGGTTGTCATATTGTCTGTAAGGACTCGTATGACCTGTCCCCGAATGATGGGAAGGAAGTGTTGACATGCTTTGTACACTGCCCTGAGCTCCAGGAAGTTTATGTGCATCAACGATTTGTCTGGCGACCATAGGCCTTGTACTTGTTCGGGGCCGAGGTGTGCGCCCCATCCAATGAGTGACGCATCTGTTGTCAACTGCGCCGATGGCTGAGGGCGATGAAAGGGTACGCCCGACAATAGATTGTCTGGACTTATCCACCAAGCCAGTGATTTCTTGACATGGGTGGGAACTGTTATTGTCCTGTGGACATCGCGTACATTGGGGGGACAGATTCGTGCCATCCAATGTTGAAGGCATCGAAAATGTAACTGCGTGTTTTACCACATATGTTGTGGAGGCCATGTGTCCCATAAGCTGTAGGCACCGTAGTATGGGAACCGTTGGACTGATGAGTAAGATCTGGATCAAGTCCTGCATTGTCTGGAATCTTTCCATCAGTAATGATGCACGCTCGGTCATAAAGTCTAGACGAGCGCCTATGAACTGTATTGTTTGGTGTGGTTCCAATGATGACTGTGGAACATTGAGAATGAGACCCAGCTCCTGGAAAAGCGTGCGTGTTGTCTCTGTGGCATTGCGCGCTTCCTGTGACGATTGGGCTCTGATTAGGCAATCGTCGAGGTATGGAAAGATCATTATGTGTAGACGAAGATATGTGATCGCCACAGCCAGGGTCTTGGAGAAAACCCGTGGAGCCGACGAGAGACCGAACGGCAGGACCTTATATTGGAAATGGTCTGTACCGATTTGGAAGCGTAGGAATCGTCTGTGCGCCGGATGAATCGCAATGTGAAAGTATGCGTCTTGAAGATCGAGGGATGTGAACCAATCACCGTTCTGAAGTGCTGGGATGATTGTAGTTAAGGTAACCATTCGAAACCGTTGTTTTCGTAAGAAACGGTTGAGGTCGCAAAGATCTAGTATCGGTCTCCATCCCCCTGATTTCTTTTCCGTTACGAAGTAGCAGGAATAAAAACCTCTGCCCTTGAACTCGTCCAGAACAGGCTCTATTGCTCCGACGGCGAGTAGACGGGTAACTTCTTGCCTGAGCAAGAGCTCGTGAGATGGGTCCCTGAAAAGGGACAGGGCAGGGGGGAATGGGTGGGGTAGCGACGTGAATGGGATGGTGTAACCGAGACGAATTGTCTGAAGGACCCATTTGTCGGTGGTGATGTAGGCCCATCGATGGAGGTATGGCCTCAGACGGTGGTGAAATATCGCCTTCGTAGCACTCAGAATGGTACTAATGGGAATTGTTTTCAACCCCTCGAGTGACGTGTCAAACTTGCTGTCTGATACCCTGTTGGGAAGTTGCTTTGGGCGGCGGGCGTCTCCGCTGTTGCCGCTGTCTACCTCTTTGTTGGTCTTGAGGCCTATACTGAGGAGATTGTCGTAGGGGGGGCCTCTGCCTTTGGTAGTGGGTATACTGTTTTCTACGATATGGAGGAGTGTACATGCCCAGTGTTTTTAAAGTGGTTCTGGAGACCTTCCCCGAGTGCAGAAGTTGGTCAGTCTTATCAGAAAAGAGGTTCTGCCTGTCAAAGGGTAGGTCCTCGACCTTCGAGAACAGATCTTTGGGAGCAGAGGACTGTTGCAGCCAGGATGCTCTGCGCATAACGACTGATGTAGCAGTCATGCGCGCTGCAGCATCAGCTGTATCCAGGGCAATATGTAAGGCCGTTCCAGAGGCTGTGTAGCCCTCTTGTATTACAGCCTTTAAAATGTCTCGTTTTGCCTCTGGAAGATGTTGAAGCAGTGGTACAAGCTTAGCGTAGTTGTCAAAGTTGTGATTCACCAACAATGCGGAATAATTGGCCATTCGTAAAGTGAGTGTTGCCGAGGAGTAAACTTTACGTCCGAATAAATCGAGACGCTTACTATCTCTGTCTGCGGCAGTAGGCTTGTGTTGCGGCATCTTTGCCTTTTGCTGTACTGCATCCACAACCAAGGAGTTAGGCTGTGGATGGGTGAAGAGAAATTCCATCCCTTTAGCAGGGACAAAATACTTTTTATCTGTCTTCTTATTCGTCGGCGGGGCGGATGCCGGTAACTGCCAAATATCGTCCGCAATTTCAAGAATGGCCGCGTCCAGTGGCAACGAAATCTTGGGCTGGTGAGTGTGTTTGATATTACGGAGGAGATGGTGTTGTTTTTTTTCCACGTCACCCAGCTGTACGTTTTGACTCTCCACCACTCTTTTAAATAACTCCTGAAACTGGCGTAGGTTGTCAGATGGTGAGGTGTCTCCTTGAAAAACTGCATCGTCCGGAGACGATGAAGAATGATGCATGGGTGATTGATCAGGTTAGGGATCCTGAACGGGAAGAGGTTGTCCGGTGTGAGAAGGAAACCCGGAGGGAGTTGGTGGCCTTGAAGGGGCAGAGGAAGCATAGTGCCTTTGAGCGAGAGAGGTTTGCGTAGACCGGTGCTGATGAGAGGATCACCTATGATGATAGTAGGGTGACGTGGAACGACGGGGTCTCCTGGAATATCCGGAATGGGTTGAAAACGCTGGCGATCTTGGTGATCGTGATCTCCCTCTGTAATATGTCCTGCGACTGGGTGAGCGATCATGGTGGTAGGAGTGACTGGAACGTGGCGAGATTTGGCCGGTATGAGAGTATTCAGAGTACGGCGGAGATGGTGAACGTACTTCAGGAGAGAACTCAGGACTTGGTGATAAAGAAGATAATCTCCTGGATGAATGGGCCGGTGGTGCCAGTAACTGTTCCGGTGGAGAGGAAGTCGGAGTGGAAAGCACAGAGTGAGGGATTATCTCCACTGGCATTGGAGGAATCCGTACCAAGCTGGTCCGTGTCGTCGTAGTTGATTGTCTCGGTACCGATGATTGCCTCAGTTCCGGGGATCGTCTCAAAGGAGAAGGCAGTCACGGTGCTGGTGGACGTCCTTCTGAGGGAAGCCTGTGGTGAGACGATCCTTTCGGTACCAAAGGGTGGCTCGGTGCCGGTACAGTCGATGACGGGGAACGCTCAGGTGCCGATGAACGTTTAAGCTTTGTGGGAGGCGATGGTCGATTCGGTGCCGACCATGTAGAAGGAGAAAGATGCTCAGGAGTTACCGAGCGTCGTCTCGCCAAAGGTTTAGAATGAGCCGGTGCCGGAGTGCGGTCCTGCACTGAGGAATGGCTCATCTCCGCAGGCGGCTTGGGCATGCGCGTCGGTGCCGGGGAGAGTCTCGGTGCCTGGGAGTGGCTGCGCGCCTGGGAGCGTCTTGGTGCCGGGGAGCGTCTCGGTGCCGGGGAGCGCTCCGTACCGGCAGCGGTTCTCGAAGCCGTGGAAGTCCCTGGAAGTGGTTTGGAGACCGAGGGAACGGCTGAGATAGTTGAGCCCGATATAGAAGGGCTCGGAGCCGACTTACTCCGGCTGTCTTTAGGCGCCACCCAACGCTTGCAGGCGGTGCCGTTGATGTCCCTGGCTTGTCACCTGCACCCGATCTTGAGGGTGGAAGGGATCGCGCCGGTGATGGTTTCCTCTTCATTTTTTTAGTTTGCTCCGCGTGCCCCTTGGATTGTTTGACCTCAGATTGCAAAGCTTTTTCAAACAAGAGGATCTTTAGGCGCATGTCCCTGTCCCGTCTTGCTCTGGCTGTCAGCTTGGAGCAATGGGGACATTTCTGGGGTATGTGGCCTTCCCCGAGGCACCTGATGCACAGGGAATGGCCATCAAAGGCAGGCATTGCCTCGCGGCACTCGCTGCACTTCTTGAACCCTGGCATTTAAGAAGAATAAACTAACCATTTGAAAAAAAAGGTTTTTTTTTAAACTACTAGAACTATTACCTATATAAGAAATATAACTAACTTTTAAACTATGTATATAATAACTATGGGTTGTGTCTCTGTTGTTCTAGTGAACAGGGTTCATGAGAGAGACGTTAATCCGTCCGCGGCCGAGGACGGTCAGGAGGAACTGGCGGGAGCCGGACCACCAACGCTCAAACGGCGCGAAAAGCCATGGGCCGTACTTCGCGCATGCGTGGTCCGGCAGACTACGGCTAGAAAAGATCTCTGATCTGCGGCGCCGGGACAGGCCCGACACCTACAGTGGAGCACCCACGGGACACTGCTCGAAGAAGAATAATAACAACAATTTATAAATAAGTTGTTGCAAAACTTTTGTTAGAAAAAGTAAACAGCAGCTAAAGCACAAGTAATAGGCTATACAAAAGCTTTCTCCACAAAGATGAAACACAGCCCATGTATTTATTTTTTAAACATTTATATCTTACGTTTGAACTGTGCCATCTTGCTGTCTAACACCCAGCATGAAGAACAGATTAATATTAAGCCTTAAAAGTTGCTTGAGAGTGGACATGACACTTTATTCTGAATGTGTTAACCTTTTCTTGTCTTATTTCCTTGGGACATTTGTTTATGGGCTTTTGTACAAAGTGAGACTTGGAAATAGTGGCTCCCAGTCCTTAGCATGAACAGACAAATATATAGACATTTTAATTCTTTGTAACACAGTTCATATTTATCATTGTATAAATGCTATACTATTACTTCCTGAAGATTTTCATTCATACTTTAATTTTACACACAAATGGCAGGGAACGAGGGATACAAAAAGGGAAAGAAATGCCAACATTTTAGCCAATAAGGTTAAAGGGCCTTAGACAAAAATATTAACCTCTCCAAAGGCAAATCAAATGCCAGTGAAAAAGGATATATGAATAAACACAACGAATAATTAGGTACTCTGGGTAGCCCATGAACTCAAACAACATACCAAGAACAATTTTCATCTCCTGAAACTTGGAAAACTAAAAAAGTTTCCAGAACAGCTTTACTATAGTTACCATATCTGTCTGATAATCTGAAATCAAGTGTAACTGTTTTGATGTAAATAGAAACATTCAATTTTTAACCCTATCAAGGGGAAAAAGGAAGCTACAGTCCAGAGTGGATCTCTCTAGACAGCTCAGCATTTCAGTATTATAACAATAGGTGCTCTAGAAATACCAGACAACAACCACTCAACTGAAGTAACTTTCAAGATCAAAGATATCTAACACTAAGAAATGACTTCTTATATCTGAACACTTCTATTGTTATCATACTATGATATTGCTCCCAATCTACACAACCTGGTAAATAGGAAGATTTTCTTCCCTTTGAAGATAGTTTTCATGTTTATTTTTAAACTAGCCAAGCAGCCCGTTATAAGACAGGATTTTCAGGTCTCTTCTCCACGTCAGACTTCTCTCCTGAGCCTCCAGTTTATGGCCGGGGGTGGGGCCTGGAGCTGCTGTCATGCCGCACATCACCGCCCTGCCCCCCCTTTCCCTCCCGCCGTGGCGCTCAGCTGACTTCTGTGCTGCTCAGCCGGGCCGCCATGGGGGAGCAAGCAGCCATTTGGGCCCCACACTCCCCATGCAGCACGGACCACCCAGAGGGAACAGCCAGCATTTCAGCGTTACAGACTCTCAGACATTGGGCTACTATATATATGATTGTATCGTAAAACCTCAATCACAAAGCACTGGTTACATACTGGCAGCATCTCTGTATCTGAGAAAATCAACATTCTGCTCTTGCTTTACTGTTTGCAAAGTAACTGACAACTGGTTTGGCAGATTTTTTTTATTATCTTTTCAAATCAAAACTTTTTTAAAAGGACAGGATTAAGTTTTACAATAAGTGATCTTACCTCTTCTGTATATTCTCTCTTAAGAGGGGCACCAGCAGTTACCTGAAATTGAAGGCAAGTAAAATTCACAATCATGTAACAGTGCTAGTTAACTGCATGCGTTGTCAGAAGTATCGTAACTTTTGTGCTGCAAAAAATAATGCACAGTGCCAATACAAAACAACAATAAGACCACTATCTTCCTTTTTGGTGACAAAAAGTTCAGTACAACCACACATCACAGCCTTACAGAAATTTACAGTCATACAAAGAGAAAGGAAAAATGTATCACTTTCCCTGTATACAAAAGATAATAATTCTTCTCTTCTCAGTTTATTACAGCAGTGACTTAGTGTCAGGGTTTTCTTAAAAAAAGAAAAATAGAAGTTACAGTTAGAAAATTATTGGGTAAAAACAGCAAGTATTTATGCGAGACATTGGTTCTCTGTGTGCATTTTAAATTCTTTCTGCTGATTTTGGTGTAAAAACTGAGCTTTTACAACTGTATATAATGTTTGTACTAAGGATGTTAAGGAATAGTTAAGCAAATGCTTATCGCATAATCCGTTTAACTGATTTCTCCCTCCCCCCCGCTGCCTCTATCAGATAGGGGGTACTTCAAACTGGCAGCGCTGCACAGCTGATCCCCATCTCAGCTGTGCATCGCTGCTGCTTTGAATGCTGAGGCGGAGTTTCAAGGGGGCAGTGCCACATGGAGCCCGGGGCCCCAGCTGATCCCGGGCTCCATGCGGCATTTCCATGGAACCCAGGATCATCTGGGGAGTCCACAGCTGATCCTGGGTTCCTCTGAAATGTGGCACAGAGCCTGGGATCAGCTGGGGAGTCTCCCACTGACTCTGGGCTCCATGCTGTGCTTCTGCTTTGAAATCCACAAGAGTCCCCGCTGGGGGCTCTGGTACACAAGCATGCAGCCCTGTGTCAGTGGGACTGCCCTCTGGCCCCAGGCTTCATGCAGAGTTCTGCATTCCTTCTTTGAAATGTACAAGAGCCCCAATAGGAAATTCTATTGACGACTCGACTAGTAAAATAACTGATAGTTAACATCTCTAGTTTGTACTGAAGTCTAAGATTGCCATATCTGTTTCAATAGCTATTTCCTATAATAGCCTTGGGAGACCTTCTTGAATTAAGTATCTTTGGGACCCATCATATTCAATGATTTATATATTATTGTGGGGTGGGACTGTATGTAACCTTTTAACGGGGGATGTGATCACTGAGAGACCAGAAGATTCAAAAGGACTATGCTAAACAGTATGCCACACAAGAATGGACTTTTGGATCAAAATGAGTGAAGCAGTTTTCTTGGGGAATATTTAGCAGGAGATGAATGCAAATTCCTTACCTTCCATTATACTAAAATCTAGCCTTTTGAAGCTTCATCCTGAGATATGAGCCATGGTCTATTGATCACTATTATATGCAGCCATGCTCAAAGGACCTAGTTGGATAAAGGAAAGACCGATCTCCTCTTGAGTGTCCTGATTCTGAGACAGGTACGGGTTTGAAAGGACTGACACCTACCAGCTCCTTGGCTGGAAAGTATTCTAATATGTGTGTAGATCCTTTTATTGTTTTCAATATTATTTTTCCTTTGGAATGCTTTCACATTCAGAATAAATAAGCTTGCTTATAAAGTGTTGTGAGGTAACGTATGTCAATTGGGCAATTTACAGCCTTTAGAGCAGTGGTTCTCAACTCATTTCAGTCCATGGACCACCAGGCGAATCAAAAAATTTTCATGGACCACCTCCAGCACATGTAGCACAGGATGAATGAGAGCGCAACCGCTCAGCATGACGGTGGCAGCTACACTGACGCTCAGAGCCTGAGACGGAAGTTACTGGCAGCACAACATGGTTGTGTCCTAGGTGATGCTATGGATGACGTGCTGAGTGCTTGTGAACACGGCATAAAACAGCCTAACGGCGTGTGACTTTGGACAATGTTCTTATGGACCATTGAAAAAGTTACCATGGACCACCAGTTGAGAACCACAGCTTTAGAGTGAAAGCAAACTAGAAACATTGGCTTCGTTAGGCATTCTGGCTTACTGGGGAATATCACAGTGTAGGCAGAGAACTGTGCAGCCTGGAAAAATCCTGCTCAAGTCATCAATAGACATGGATTTCTAATGATGTAACACCTGAATAGCAGGGTGTATAGATTGGGTACGCCAGAGGGACCATTGGGGGGGGGGGGGAGGATGGAAGGTGTAATTTCACAAACCATGACAACTATAGAAGAGAGAGCTGGATATAATTCTGACTTGGGCATCTAAAACTTTCACTAGGTTCTGATTGTAGAATCCTGTTTTTATTGGTGATGATATGAGACACGTCAAAAAACCTGTGTGACTTTCAAATTTCAGGCAGAGTTTGTGGGGCATATAAAAGAAGGAAAATGGATACAGAGTCAGTGAGATACAAACATAAAAGACTGTGATGCCATTTCAGAGTCAATTTCCAGTGTACAATTACAGTTTAAAAGCTGGTTCCTCACCAAATTTGAAGTAGCTCTACTGCTTAGAAATCACTATTAACATGTATAAAATGCCTAGTTTCCTTTAGGATTTCTTCAGAATGGAAATAATAAAATCACAGGATGGGAAGGGAACAAGAGTTCATTCCCCTGCACCATCCTTGACAGGTGTTTGTCTAACCTGCTCTCATGCTTTGTTGCTCTTCTCTTGATATTTTCCAATTTGTCTACATCTTTTCTGCAATGTGGCACCCAGAACTGGACATAATACTCCAGGTGAGGCCTAATCACTCTGGAGTAGAGCATGTAAAAATGGAAAATCCACACGAGATGCTTGCTCCAACTGTAGTCACTTACACTGGGAAAAATGCTGGAGTAGAATGAAGAGACTCCCCTACATCTGCTGTTGGAAGATTCTCCCATTGCTAGAATTGTGGAAGACTGACATATTGTTGCCTTCCAAGGACCCCTGGAAAATTCTGGTGTAAAGAGGCATGCCAAAACCAGGGCTGCAGCACACAGGGACACCTGTATTACTTGCACAGCTCTTATGGGGTGGTCTAAATTATACCAGAGATTGCTACTCAACTAGGGATGTTAGATATTGTGTAACCACATGAAATCTTAGCAGTTACATGACTATCTGAAGGTCCCTGGGAACGGAGCTAGAAGCCAGTGCACCCCCACCCTCACGAAGCCCCTTTGCACCACACGCTGCTGCCTCCATACCAGAGGCAGCACCTTAGGGTACCAGGCGGGAGCTGATCCGCCTGGGGAGCCAGTTTAAAAAAACAGCTCCTCGCGCACAATGGCTGCCTGCAATCTTGCACTGCAGCCTCTGATACAAAAGCTGTATCAGAGGCTGGTCCATGGGAGCAGCCCTTGTCTGCGGGGAGCTCAGACACCTGAGGACAGGGGCTGCTGCTGCGGACCAGCCTCTGTCCACTGCAGGCTGAGGCTCACTGAGGACAGAGGATGCTCTGTGGGATGTGGAGAAGCCTCTGTCTGCGGAGAGCTCAGACCACCCCGTGGACAGGGGCTGTTGCTACAGACCAGCCTCTGTCCAAGGCGAGCCTGGGCCTGCTTGAAAACTGGCTCCCCATGTGTATTGGCTCCTACCTGTCCCCCTAATCACCCTCTGTGATATTGCCTCTCTAGCAGAGCAGATGTGCAAGGCTGTGGAGAGGGCAGGTGAATCTAATGCTCATGGGGAACCTGCTTAAAGTCAGCACCTCACGGCCACTGTTCCTCTCCCGCCCCCGTCCGTTGCCTCTGATATAGAGGTAGCAAGGTGGGGTGGAGTGCGTGTAGTCGGCAAGACGTTGACATCCCTGTTCCCAACTATAAAATAAAGAACATATATTCAGATGACAGGAATTAGAAACACTGTCTTTCCCTCATCCACATAACTAGTATATAGATTTAGATGTAAAGTTACTAAATAATCAATCATAGATGATACAGATATTGCCATCTTTCATATATATGTGTATTGCACTCCAGCAGCACAAGGAAGGTGGAACTTGCTTGAAGGTATAACAACCCAGCACAGAGGGCAAAAGCAGTTGACAACAGGAATAGACAAAGCACCCTTCTGGCTGCTGGAACAGTGCTTGTGGACAGCTGCAATTCAGAGCCAACTGTAATGCTGCTTTACATGACTTCTTGTGATCTGTATCAAGTATCAAGGAGTCACAAAGGCTTGCTTTATATCGCCACTTTTGTAGCTAGCCTTTGAGATCTATGATTTGGTCCATTCTGTCCTAGTATAGTATATTATGTACATTTTTGAAAGACAAGGATTAGATAAAATAAACACATTGTTTTTTTAAATTCTCTTTTTGATAGAATGAATGAAAAATGTCAGTACAATGTACCATCTGTGAAATTTATGGAGGAACAATACGTCACTAGACAAACGCGCTGTATGTGCTGGATAACAATGAATTAGGATAACAAATATTTTGGGTATTTAAACTTAGAAAGCCTGGCACCAAAGGTATGAATAAGGGAAAATCTCAGCACTTATTCTCCCTGTGATTAGATATAAGGAAGGCTTTGTGCATTCCACAATTCTGTGGTTGTGGAAACAGCTTTGGAATTTGCCCCCAATATGAGGCTCCACAGAAAGCTGTTTTTCTGGGCAGTATCAGATCCTTTCAGAGTGAGCTCAACAGAGAAGCTGAAATGTGTTGCTAGGCTGGTTAGCAGAGTGCCAGTCACTTACAGATTCTGCCTAATCGAGTGGGAAGTATCTCTGCCATTAGCAATCTACAAAAGCAGGGGGAGCAAAAGATTACTGTGATACACTGGGAATGGGGGAACAGATATCAGGCAGTTTAGAGAACAAAAGGCGGGGAGTGGGAAAGGAGAGGGAGTAAGTTCTCTCTATCTTAGTGGCAGTCACAAGCCAGAGTCTCAAAACTCACTGATTATCACCTCTAATATCATTAGCTCACAGACATTTACCTCCCCCCATCCCCCTTCTGTTCTGAAATTTGATTTGTCCTTTTCACATGTGTTCATTTTTTAAATTGTATCCTTTGGTATATATGGTTGTGACAATTTTCTTCCACTATTTGATCTGAGGAAGTGGGTCTGGCCCACGAAAGCTCATCATCTAATAAACCATCCTGTTAGTCTTTAAAGTGCTACATAATCCTGTATTTTGATTCCACTAAGCACACTGCAATCTGAATTCATCTCTCCATCTCAGCTGCCAAGCTCGCTGGCTCATAACTGCTCGCATGCACTCAATTATTAACAACACTGAGATGTACAAATTACTATGGTAAGAAGCATGGGAGTGAATGTATATAAATAATTTTAAAAGGGTTTTTAAAAACATAAACAAACTTCACTCCCTTTTCTAAGAATGAGTACTCAATAGCTATCTAATCCTCTCTCATATGGTTTGACTCCTATAATTTAATAGGGAAATTCAAGAATGGACATCAGTGTGATGACATGGTTTAGGAAGGAGAATTTCTAAGTAATTGTTTACCTCAAAAGTTTTCACAGACACCTTTTAAAATTCAGAATTTTATACTTATTTCAAATGTTAATAGTAATTTTTAAGGCTTATCATTTGTGTTTCAAGAATGGTGAAGACACTTACATTTGGCCCTCCTCCGTGCATTTTCAAAGCTCTCACTGTAGCAACAAGCACAACTACGCTGGGAACTAAGCCAGATGCTCTGCATTTGATGTTGAAGAATTTCTCCATCCCGATGTCAGCACCAAACCCAGCTTCAGTTACTGTCAAGGATAGAGAACTCAATTAAAGGCAAGGGACACTTCACTTTATTCTTGTATGCTGCATACTTTTCAAAATGCAACTGCATTCATTTTGCCAACCCCCCAGATAGAGTTCTATTTACATGACTGATTTTGATTATCTTCAACCATTCACTGCTCACAATAAGTTCTCTTTTTCCTGATAAGTAAAATATGTCACTCAAGAGGGCTGCATACAAAAAGTTTAGTAGCATCCAGTCCTCTGTTACAACTACTTTAAAAAACAAACAAACCTTTTCTCTAGGGTTACCATATTTGAACTTTCAAAACAGAAGACACCTGGTGCCTGCTGGCACGGCTGCTCCACTTGCACAGGAGGCTGGGCTCAAGAGCTGGCAAACTCATCCCCGCACATGCCAAGCTCAGGGCTCTGACTGCTGCCTTGCTGCTGGTGGGGCTGCCGCTGCCCCCGCTGGCTCTCATGGCCACATGCTGTGCTCCCACTTCCCCAAGATTTGTGGCAGTGGGGGTGCCAGGGCTACTGAAAGGCCAGGAGGAGAGAGTGGGGGCCAGGAAGGCTGCTGGCTGGGGTCCGTCCTGGGGCATGAAGTTAAAGGCACCGAGGGGAGAAGTGACATGGCTAGAAAAAGAACCCAGGAATCCTGCTTCCTAGAATCCCTTCCTTTCCCCTGCCCACCCCACCAAGCACCAGCTCCCACAATCCTTAGAGCTGAGACTGGAACCCCCAAATCTAACTAACAGATCCACTGCCTAGCTATAGGAAAGGAAAGAAGCCAGAAATTCTAATGCCCAGTTCCCTGCTCTAACCCAGTGACCCTCCCCTATTACAGAACCAGCCACTCTCCCAGCCCTGCTGTTCTAACCCAATGAGTCCACCCCTCCCCCAGAGCCTGGCATCCCCAGCTCCCTGCTCTAACCCAATGTCCCTTTCCTCCCCCAGAGCTGGGGACAGAACCTAGTGGGGCAGTGACTCCGTCGAGGAGACAATCTCCCCAACATCGGACCTGCCCTGGGTCTCACCAGAGTGGCCACTGCCATAGCCATGTGCTTTTCCCTCCAGGTGCTGGGTCGCATACGCAGAGCGGCTGTTCATGTCTGGGCACACGGCTCCGAATGTTCAATTTGAAGGATGGGCACATGCCGTGCCCCCTCCATGATCCCTTTTGCAGGGCAAAATCCCAGACATTTTTAGCCATTTAAAAAAGCCGTCTGGCCGAAGATTTAATAAGTGAAAAGGAGGACATGTCCAGAAAAGCTGGACATATGGTAATCCTACTTTTCTCTATTCTCCCATATCACATATTTTTACTAAATAGGGATGGATCCGGATCTGAAACCCCCTGAATTTTGGGAAAATTTAACGTGTGGCCCATGTTTGCACAGAACAAACACGCAATTTCAAAATTGAAAAACAGGGTGTATTCATGATGGATCTACTCCGAGACAACATTCAAGCAAACAAGGGTTCGTCTACACTACAACGTTAATTCGAACTAACTTAGTTCGAATTAGTTAATTCGAACTAAGCTAATTCGAACTAACGGATCCAGACTAAAAAACTAGTTCGAATTAGCATTTTGCTAATTCGAACTAGCATGTCCACATTAAGTGGACCCTGAACCGGGCTTAAGGATGGCCGGAAGCAGTGCCGGCAGGGCATCAGAGGAGGACTTAAGAGTGTGGAGATGCTGTCTCAGGCTAGCCGAGGGCTGTGCTTAAAGGGTCCCGACCCCCACCCCGGACAGACAGTTCTCAGGGGTGCCCCGCTTGCAAAGCAGTCCTGGCTTGGAGTGCCCAGAGTACCCACACTGGGCACATCACACCACTCGGCCATCAGCCCGGCTGCACTTGCCACAGGCTGCCATCTGGGGAGAGGGGGCAATTGGGGGGCTGCAGGAGAGCTTCCACCCCCAGAAGCCCGCAGAGCCAGCCCAGTCCTCCCCATCGGGGGCTCATGCCCCATTCCTCCCTCACCTCCTTCCACTTACCCTTCCCTAGCCCCTCTTCTTGATGTACAAAATAAAGATAACGTGTCTTCCAAAATGGAATCTGTCTTTATTGAACAAAACTGGGGGAGACTGGGAAAAGGAGGTGGGAGAGGGGAAGAGAGAGGCTGGGAGAGGGGAGGGCAACTAAAATGATCAGGGGTTGGGAACAGGTCCCATATGAAGAGAGGCTAAAGAGACTGGGACTTTTCAGCTTAGAAAAGAGAAGATGGAGGGGGGACAGGATAGAGGTCTATAAAAGCATGAGTGGGGTGGAGAGGGTGCATACAGAAAAGTTCATTAGTTCCCATAAAGAAGGACTAGAGGACACCAAAGGAAAGGAATGGGTAGCAGGCTTCAAACTAGTAACAGAAAGTTGTTCTTCACAAAGCAAAGAGTCAACCTGTGGAACTCCTTGCTGCAGGAGGCTGTGAAGGCTACAACTAGAACAGAGTTTAAAGGGAAGTGAGATCAAGTCATGGAGGTTGGGTCCATGGAGTGCTATTAGCCAGGGGGTAGGAGTGGTGTCCCTGCCCAAGGTTTGTGGAAGGCTGGAGAGGGATGGCACCAGACAAATGGCTTGGTCACTGTCTTCGGTCCATCCCCTCCAGGGTCCCTAGGGTTGGCCGCTGTCAGAAGGCAGGCCACTGGGCTAGATGGACCTTTGGTCTGACCCAGGACGGCCATTCTAAGCTTAGGGCTCAGGGTCGGGGGTCTCAGTGGACCCCCTTGATTCTCTTGCACACCTGCTCCTGGGTGGCCAGGCTGGCAGCTCTCCTGCAC